GGGCTCATATGTGTTTTTTAGTCATACCATATGAATATTAGGGACGAGTATGAGCATTTTTCTAGTAGTGCTATCTCCTTATCCACATAGTTAATTAACCAAGAAATTACCATAGAGTTGTATTGATCTTAGAGGTCTTGGAGATGAGGTTCCTGTTTCTCTTTGAGGCACATGCCATCAATGAATCTAAGCTTGCTCTTCCCATGAAGAGCAAGCTTCATTGATTTAGACCAAATGCAATAATTCTGGCATTTGAGAAGAACTTGAGGAACAAGAGTTGTGACCTGTGTATTTGTCAGATGAAGGTAGAGAGGGTAATTGTAATCAATCTTGCTGTCTTGAGATTCTCCTATCGCACCTGAAAAAAAATCTGGAGCAAGTTGTGAAGGGAGGGATAATGGTCGGCGAAGCACTAGTGAGACAAGGAGGCTGAATCTTGCTTGAGCAGTGAATATGGTGAATCAATGAGAAAGAAGAAAGAAGGAAGCATTAGCTGCAGAGTGCTCGAATGCAGGGAAAGAAAGAAACAATGCCCTAGGGAGAAGATTGCACGATGAAGAAGGCAGAATGAATCATTGTCTTCCTCAGAAAATGGATTCAGTGACCTGTGTGGGAGAACATGAATAGGCTGTAAAATTGGACTCAGAAAACCCAGATTAGAACCAGGGGCTCTAGTACCATGTTAATCAGTGGGCCTCAAGATAACTGAATAATATATCTAATTATTACTGAATAAACATAGCCAAATTACAATAGGAGTCTTGGTGCCATTATATATGCACTGATGGGATACAATAATAGGCCTATAATAGTGGGCTTTGTTAACCATCTAATTACAACACGTGCCTCACTAACTATATCTAATTATAATAAAAGGAGTAGACATTCACAGATCTGTGGAGATGGGAATTTAACAGAGAAAAGGTTGAGGGAGAAGGTGCCACAAAAGCAATAAGTTGAGGGAGAGGAAGGCCTTTCATTAGCTCGGGTTGGACATGGGATAGGATAAGATAGAGAGAGGTTCATACATACTCTAGGAGTGCAACATCATCCCAACTCTGTCCAATCAAAACATAGCAACTCAGCTTTTTTAATCCTTGCTGGCACTTGACTTGGCTGTTGACTCCCCTTTGAAAACACTCCCAGATTGAAAAATGAAAAAAAAAACACAGAGAACATCTTCATTTTTGCCGCGCAATGCTTCAACTTTGACTGGAGAGATTGAAAGCTTGAATAATCGTGCCCTAACCCAAGAGAGAAAAATCAAAAGAGTTCAAAGAGTGTGCCTTACCTTAGCTTTGGACCTTGCTGCCTCTTCCTTATGAGCAGAGAGTTATGTCACTAGTAGAAGATAGCATCGTCAATGGAGAGTTGCGTCACTAGCAGAGAGCCTCCCATCACGCCCCATCTTGCTCTGTCTTTTCCAGATTTTGTATTGGACAAAGAAGGTTTGATTTGTACTTGATAAAGATTGTAGATTTTCTTAGTTCATGGAAGAAATGTGTCATTTGTGATAAGTTTTTTTGTACCCTATTTTGCCTTTTGTATTTGATCTATGGTTTTTGATTGGGGTTGGTATAATCCTTCTCTGTATTATTTTTCTGAACATCGAAAAGCTTTTGTATTCTAGATTCAGTGATTTATATTGAGTTTGATTTAGTTTTTGCATATTAAGGGAGCTATTTGTGTTTTTATATGTGATCCCAAGTTTACTCTGTTTATAGTGTGTCTCAAATAAGCTAATGATGAAATAGTTTATTCTTAATGTAAATGAAAGCTTCTTATGTTTTTGTTATTATATGAATCCGTGAGGAACTGGAACTAACATTTGTAAACTCTCAAATATGAATCTGTTGCTTAATGTAGATATTCCTTGGTTTGATTTTGAGTGTTGTGGCTTGTAAACAATCAACCCACATTTGGAAATTACCATGCTATGCGATTTTCATTTATAATTTTAGTTTTGTATTTTTAAGTTTATCAATTATTATTATATATATTATTTTTATAAAGGTGTTTAATTAACTTTGATATTGCACATAATGGAAATAGCTAATCAACTAGAGTCAGATATTCACTTGGGGCAAATTGTAAATAATGAAGATGAGGCATATGCTTTGTACACAAAATATGCATATCAATTGGGTTTTTTGGTTAGAAAATGGAAACAAACATATATTACTGGAACTAAGAAGATTCGTACAAAAGAATATGTGTGTTCAAAAGAAGGGACTAAATATTTGGATGAAGTTGGGAGCACTTCATTTACTAAAATGAATGCAGAGACAAATTGCCAAGCTATGGTTCGATTTACTATTGAAGTGGATGGGTTATGGAAAATAACTAAGTTGATTACTGAACATAATCATGAACTTGTAAACAAAAGCATAGGCACCTTATGCGTTTTGCTAGGAATATTCCTACCGCTGAAGGTGACCTCATTAATTCCATGGTGACTGCTGGAATCAGAATGAAGGATGTGTGGAGTTATTTAGGTGAAGAAACACATGGATTTGATAATATTAGATTTTCCAAAAAAGATTGTTATAATTATGTCAACAAGCAAAAGTTGAAACTAATAGAAGCAGGGGATGGAAAAAGTTTAGTTGATCTTTTACAAAGTCATCAAGCTGAAGATCCAATGTTTTATTGCAGTGTTCAATTTAATAAAGAATTACATTTGACAAATGTTTTTTGGAGGAATGGGAGATCAACAATTGATTATGATTACTTTGGGGGATGTAGTGGTTTTTGACACAACTTATCGTACAAATAAGTATGATGTAATTTGTGAGCATAAAGAAAAATATGCAACTAGTGAAAATCCAAAAATTGTGTATCGCAATTCTATTATGCGTTCTTTTTATAACCTTGTGTTGGCCTCACAAGATCACAAGGAAACTCAAGATATTATGTGGGATGTTATCAATAATAGATCTCAAAAAGTTCAAGAACATCTACATGGTTTGAATAAAAGCAACAATGTGGAAAAGAATAAAGAAATCCATGCTACCATTCAAGATGCATCTCAAGTAGGCCAAATTCTTGATCCCCTAAAAGTAAAGCCAAAAGGGAGTGGAAGTGGTGGAAGAAAGGGCCATTTTGAAAAACAATGAAAATCAAGTAAGATATTAATTTTATAAATACTTGTGTATGCCTATACATTAGTGATGTGTTTCTAAATTTCATTTTTTCACAGAAAAACAAAAAGAAGTGGAACACTTGCTTCAACTGCACCAAAGCAAACTTCACTTTCCCAAAGCTTTGATTACACTTATCCAATGGTTAATACATGTGGCTACAAGATTAATAAACATTGTAATTATTTTTTTTAATTGAATATATTTGTTATATTGCAGGTCAATACTACTCAAGTTGTTTAGGGTAGTCATCCTATGATCCCACATGCCTTTCATGGTCCTTGAAACATTAGAAGTCCATTTCATATGATTGACACAAGTAACACTTTAAATCAGGTATAAATCAGCTAGTTATATTATTTTCATATCAACATCTTCTTAAAATATGTTAATTAATTATATTATTTTTAATATATTTTAATTTCTTTTTAGGAAGCACATTCATCGGCTTGGAGACCACCAACTACATTTACACATAACCAATAGTTTGCCTTCAATCCTCTTCAAGTAAAGCAGATGGAAGAAGAAATTTTTTTTTTTTGGCTTTGTTTTTGTATATTTTGTGTAAGCTGGCCGATCTTTTGTTTCTAGTTATTTTGATGTATAATGAGGTTGTGTAAGTTGGATGGTTTTGGATCCCCAGCTATTTTAATAAACACATTCCCAATTTTTTTTCCTCAAATCAATGTAAGTATTTTAGGTGGTGAAAAAGAGGCCACCTTTTGTTTAGTCATCGCAAAGACTTTATGCTAAAAACACTTGGTCAATGGTAAAAAAACTTAATTTAATTAGCTTCTCCAGAGTGCAGAGCCTGCGCTACTACTGGTTTAGTGGGTAAAAGAATTTATCAAATGTGATAATTTTTTTTCCGCCTAAATAAGTACTGGTATAGGTTTACCTGAAAATTAGTGATTATATTCTTTGATGTTTATGTTGAATATGTTGAGTTCGAAGTTATTTAAGACAATGAGAACTATAATATGTTTAGAACATGGCCTGTGAAAAAATTAGTTTAAGTTCTCAGATGCTATAGATACGTACCATATTAGAAGTATTCTTTCACTTCATTTTAAATTCTCTTCTCTGTTTGTTATTTGATTTAATGTTTCTTAATCCACTAGATTGTAATTATGATATAGGGAAACTTATTTAATGAAATTTATAGGCAGTGCAATCCGGGATTATTTCATTAAAAGTTTCCATTTAATTAAGTCAATATATGGGTGCCACCTTACTGGAGTTGATGATCACAGCTTGGAAATTATATCATCAGGGGTTCTAATTCTCTTTGCTCCCTACTTTCTTTCACTTCTCATTTTCAAGTTCTTGTCTGGTGAACATTAGAAAGAGAATATTACCTCAGTGAAGATAAATGATTAAAAATATTTGAATTTAGACCTTTATTCATGATAGCTTATGGCTGATGCTTTTCTTGTCTTTTGGTGTAGAATTTGTTGTTCATTTACTAGACAAGACAATTGCAAGGTACTCTTTATTTTTACTGCTACAGGGTTCACTTACCAATTTTTAGAAATAATTTATTTTGGACAGTAACATGACCATGCTGTTATAATAAATATGATGAACATCTTCATCGTTACTTTTGGTAGCATTTCAGATAACAAATCAATTTAGAAAATAATTGTAACTGAACTACTGAAGCTGCCACTGCCGTTGCCACCAAATCTAATGTCAAATAATCCAGACAGATGAAAAAATTCTCTAAACTACTCTACTTTTACCACCTTCAGATACATTGGATTACAATAATCTACAAAACAACCATTCTATCCCTAACTTTACACCTAACTAGAAGATATCAGGTTAGACATAATATCCTAAGACTAGCTGCGCATGTGCATATTTTTACAAAAACAGTCTGATGGCAAATGAATATTTTATCTTAGGCAAGTGACTTTACATAGTGCCCAGTTTTCCGCCTGTGCCTGCTATAATCAAAAACAAATTTGAATGAAAGGCCACATCCCTCAAATATATGTGTATTTAAGATTGATTGAATAACTTCAAACCAAAAAAGAATGACGGAATGACTATAGTGCTAAGTAACAGCAAATGAAATATTCTTTTTTTTCTTTCAAAGAAATGCACTTATGTTTCATCAGCACAGTTATGACAATGTAGCCAAAATAGCTAGTAATAACCGTTGAAGCTCAATTTTATCAATTGAAATATAAAGTCGGAAATAATGAACATATCGCAAAATAATTACATCAAAGCATATATCAGTTGGGTTTCTCTGAAAAATAAAGTTAGAAACAACGAACTTATCACACAAAAAAATTGCCCCAAAGCATAGGCCCATGAATCGAAGACATTATGAATAAACATAAAACTCAGAAGCCTAGTTTCAAATCTAGCCCTAAAATCACTACCTCTTCCATCAATCGAACTTGAAACTGAAATTCTTGCAAGGTTGCCGATGAGGAAGCAATGCCGGAGGAGGAGGAGAAAACAAAACTTACAACTTGTGGTTATGAGAAATGATGAGAGTGGTTGCGGTTCTAACGGTTTCGGTCGAGCATCTTGTCGCCCACTACAGGGGAATTGTCGCCTCCACTGCTACCGCCTGTGGTTATGATAAAGGATAGAGGGGTTTGCTTCTTATGGTTCCAGTTGAGTATCTAGTCGCCGGCCATAGGGGAGTCACTACTGCTATGGAGAAGCTGTAGAAGAGAGGGGAGAGGGGTTAGAGACGAGCTCCTCTGCAATGAAATCCACTTCCCTCTTCAATTTCATTTTAGGTGTCATTTTTCTTTTTAGGATCTGTCGGTTAGAATTATCAGTGCTTTTGGAGGGGAGTTAACAGCCAAGTCAGGTGCCAGCAAGGATTAGAAAAAGCCGAGTTGTTGTGTTTTGATCAGACAGAGTTGGGATGATGTGGCACTCCCAGAGTATGTAAGAATCTCTCTGAGATCGAGATAATCCTGTCTTGGTTTTGTCACAATAATCAAATGGAACAGTATTTCCGTCATGTGTCTTGTCTAATCCTAATAGCATGCCATCTCGATTGGGACTGGACATAATTGGAATGAGACCAGGACATCCTATCTATACATAATTGGAATGAAACCAGGACATCCTATCTATATTTTTTTATTTTTTTTTATTTTTTTACTTGAAAACTAACTGAATATGGAGCATTTAAGAACTCATAATAAAAACTCTACAAAGAAAATAATGAAAAATGATAAAAATTGGCAATAATATAAAATTGGCCAAGAAAAAATTTCTTGCAATCATAAAAGACAAAAACTAAATATACTCAAAATGTCCACCCACAATAAAAATATCATATAACTCAGAGAGTTATTTGTAAATAACATAATTGATAAGTAAAATAAATTTATAATTTTTTTAAAAAAAAAAAGATAAGATATTGAGACAAGATACCCCACCCACATCCCATCTTGTCGCAATAGAATTTTGTCCCATTCCACTTTAATCCTATCCCAAAATGACTAGAACCAGGACATAGTTGAACACTCATAGCTAGCTGTCATTGAACTAGTTTAGACAACAAAGAGAGATGAAAAGTAATAAAGAGAGGGAAGCTGTTGTTAATAGCCTAGAGAGAGATTAATATGGAGAGACAGGAACTTTCTTGTCTTTGGTAGAGGGAAGAATTTGAAATTTAAAGCTCCAATTTAACGAAGATGTCTCTTGGATGAATTAAATTGCAAGAGTTAGAGATTGATATTTGACTTTGATGAATTCGATTTGTGGGCAGTGATGCTGAGAGTAAAAAGGAGTGGATTAATACGAAGGGTGAGGTAAGCCATTAATTGTGTCTACCCTGTACTTCTACGTCTTTGTTTGTCTTTCATATGTTTTTTCCTTTTTCATTTCACTATTAAATTTGGGCGACATTACTCTTTTTTTAATTAACATTTTTAAGACGATATTAAGTCAACAATTTAGATACCCCTTACTTATTCATGAAAACTTTCGAGACAAAAATGATCAAAGAGGAAAGCATAGTCATGTCCATGTGGAATCATAAATGGCCCAATGTCTAACACGGCAAACATCTATTTGGTTGTCATTGGAATGGGGTGATAGTTTTTTTTTAAAAAAACTGTTTTCAGGGCTACATATTGTGCCGAAGAGGCTGGTAAGTACCCATAGCACTTTCATGAAAACTTTTGGGGGGGGGGGATGACCGGGCCATTCATTCTAAACAATTTTCAGCCTATTTGGTAAAACGTTTTGAGGGGAAAAAATAGCTTATTAGTAGGGAAAAAGACAGAAAAATGCACATCCAACTCCAAAAGCCCAAAAACGTCCGCCCAATTCCACAAATCCCATTTTGGTACCATGAGACCAAATTGGGATTATTATGTGAAAGGAAAAGACCACATTGCCCTTCATTTTAAATATTATTTTTAAAATATCACAGCCCCTACTGGCCGGCCGGTCACCAGACCTCCGGCAGCGGCGGTCACCGGAGCTCCAGCGACCAGCCGACAATTGGTCACCGGAGCTCCGGCGGTCAGATTTTTTTTTTTTAAAAAATTTTTACAACTTCAATATAACGGTTAACAACTTTTGTAATGCTATTAACAACTTCAGTATAGCAATTAACAACAGCTTTTCTGGGAAATTCAACAAACTCCGGCGACCGGAAACAATTATTTTGAAAATTTTTACAACTCCAATATAACGGTTAACAACTTTTGTAATGCCATTCACAACTTCAATATAGCAATTAACAACAGCTTTTCTGGGAAATTCAACAAACTCCGACGAGCAGAAACAACTTTTTTGAAAATTTTTACAACTTCAGTATAGCGGTTAACAACTTTTGTAACCCTATTAACAACTTCAGTATAGTGGTTAACAACAGGTTTTTGTAACCACTATACTGAAGTTGTTAATAGGGTTACAAAAGTTGTTAACTGCTATACTGAATTGTAAAAATTTTCAAAAAAGTTGTTTCCGGTCGTTGGAGTTTGTTGAATTTCCCAGAAAAGCTGTTGTTAATTGCTATATTGAAGTTGTGAATGGAATTACAAAAGTTGTTAACCGTTATATTGGAGTTGTAAAAATTTTCAACTTCAGTATAACGTTCACAATTACGTTTTTTTGAAAATTTTTTACAACTCTAATATAATGGTTAACAACTTTGATATAGCAGTTAACAACAAGTTTTTAAATTCAAAAAGTGACATTTTTATAACTTCAGTAATGCCTTTAACAAACTCAAAAACCTATTGTTAACCGCTATACTGAAGTTGTTAATAGGGTTACAAAAGTTGTTAACCGCTATATTGAAGTTGTAAAAATTTTCAAAAAAAATTATTTCTGGTTGCCAGAGTTTGTTGAATTTCCTAGAAAACTTGTTGTTAATTGCTATATTGAAGTTGTTAATAGCATTATAAAAGTTGTTAACCGTTATATTGGAGTTGTAAAAATTTTCAACTTCAGTATAACGTTAACAATTACGTTTTTTTGAAAATTTTTACAACTCCAATATAACGGTTAACAATTTTGATATAGCAGTTAACAACAAGTTTTTCGAAAAATTCAAAAAATGGCTTTTTTATAACTTCAGTAATGCCTTTAACAAACTCAAAAACCTGTTGTTAACCACTATACTGAAGTTGTTAATAGGCTTACAAAAGTTGTTAACCATTATATTGAAGTTGTAAAAATTTTCAAAAAAATTGTTTCCAGTCGCCTGAGTTTGTTGTTGTTAACCGCTATACTGAAGTTGTTAATAGGGTTACAAAAGTTGTTAACCGCTATACTGAAGTTGTAAAAATTTTCAAAAAAATTTTTCCGGTCGCCTGAGTTTGTTGTTGTTAACCGCTATACTGAAGTTGTTAATAGGGTTACAAAAGTTGTTAACCGCTATATTGAGGTTGTAAAAATTTTCAAAAAAATTGTTTCCGGTCGCCGGAGTTTGTTGAATTTTCCAGAAAACCTGTTGTTAATTGCTATACTGAAGTTGTTAATAGCATTACAAAAGTTGTTAACCGTTATATTGAAGTTGTAAAAATTTTCAAAAAAAAAAAAAATCCGACCGCCGGAGCTCTGGTGACCAATTGTCAGCTGGTCGCCGGAGCTACGGTGACCGCCGCTGCCAGAGGTCCGGTGACCGGCCGGCCAGTAGGGGCTGTGATATTTTAAAAATAATATTTAAAATGAAGGGCAATGTGGTCTTTTCCTTTCACATAATAATCCTAATTTGGTCTCATGGTACCAAAATGGGATTTGTGGAATTGGGCGGACGTTTTTGGGCTTTTGGAGTTGGAGGTGCATTTTTCTGTCTTTTTCCCTTATAAGTATGATAAGTAAGTTTGTAAATTTAAGAGCTATTTGTTACTGTTTTTGGCTAATCTAACTTATGGGTCAAATACTACTTTTTTAAATATGATTGTAAAAGCACATGAAACTTATGACTTTTGTAAAAGTATCTTTTTAGAATTAAAAGACATTTTTATCCTTATATTTATGTTATGCTTATGCTTCTCTCTATATATTTTTTTTGCTTCTTAATCAGTTTTTAACAGTTTATATAATATTTTTGTTATTTATTTTTAATATTCCCTTAAGTGAAAATAATTTTTAACAGTTTTTATAATATTTTTAATTTTTAATATTATTTTTCATTTTATATTTTCACATTACTATGATTTGTAATTTAAACATATTTTATTCATTAAATATAAATTTTTCTTATTATAATAATTTAAAATTATTATATTTTGTAAATTTATATTTTTAATCATTTTTCATTATTTAATAAAAGTCATACCCATTATGGTTATTCTATAAACTAAACTTACTCACTCAATGCTAATCCAAACAACTTTTTTATTTTACAAACAAACTTTTATAAAAGTTAATCTAAACACAAATCATATTATCCTATCTAACTTTTACCTAATCTTATTTTTCTAAAAGAATAGATTGAAAATATGTTGCTAATCCAAACGAACCCTTTATATTCTTCTCCGCAAGAAAATGTATTTAATTTATCTCCTTAGATCCTGTTTGGTACACGAAGAATCTGTTGAAGGGAAACAAAAACAACATATTCTCCCTAGGACTGGATCGCTTCGTAGGTTGAAAAGAAATTAATTAGGACACCCATTTTCATTCATGCAAGAGAAGCTTGTCTTCCACGTAAGTACTAAGGAAAATGTGATTTTCCATTGGATAGATTTTGTCGAATGCCAAAAATGCCCCACCACGACAGCCCAAAAATAAGCAGCTTCCCTATATATGAAAGCCACAAATGAAGGCTAGGGAATTTTAATAATACGGATATACTACCTCTTCAATTTGATCTTAAATATAAAATCTCAATCCGTATTTTTTCTCATATTTATCTATTTTTTTGGAGGTAATTCTTGTAATAGTTGCATATATTAAATATTTCATCAAATGGTAGTTCTAGCTAATACCCATGATTAGTAAGGGTATTTTAGAGAAGACAATACCTATTTATTACAAATAACTAACTTAACTAATTTTTTAATTTATTCAAATTAGTCAACTAGCTCTTACATTAAGAATCGAATGTAGTATTATTTTGATAAGATATATATAATTCAAGAAATTTCTTATTATGTTTTATCAGTATTATTTTAAATAAATTATCTTTTGCATGAGCTATATATGACATATAATTAACATGTAATTATACTTAATATTATTTCATTTATTAATATAGATTAAGTTATTATCATTA